TTTGTTCTTAATGAAGTCAAGTTGTAGGGACTATATTATGTTGATTTACTAGTTCGCAATTAGGGCTATAAAACCATTTACATCAGACATATAAAATCAGTAATGATTCCTAACAGTTAGACAGAAGATAAATAAGGTCAATTGAGAATTCTCTCCTCGTTTCTCTGATTAATAGACGATATCCAATGAAATTAAATAAAGCATTGAAAGTCATTTATCCCATAGCATTCATTTCATCATGTACTTACCAGACATTCATGAAAAATCCTTTGAAATTAGTCGTATAAAAAGTATCTTGTACAGACACATTCAGTAGTTTTAGGATGAAAGTCAACTTGACACTTATCAACCATTTTAAAATCAGAATAACAAATAAACTAATATTTTATTCTCAAATTGTATCTATGACCATTGTAAATATTCATCTCTTTATTTAAATATAAAATCTAAACAAAAGATTTTGAAATTTTCAACTAATTACATTGAAATAACTCAATTTTATATTAACCTCTTTCATGTTCTGTATTAGATGATTTCTTTGAAAAGTTGAATTTATGAGTTCATGTAAGAAAGTTCATTATCATGAAGTCACTCATTTCTATTCTTAGCCATGTTGTTAGACAGATTACTTGGTTGGGATCCACATGACTATTATGACCGATCGTTGGAGACTCTGATTAACATGGTTCAGAATCGATCACGATGACGTAGGTGTATACAATCTCTGTCTTCCCTTAAACTATCGGATTACAATTGATTTATACCTTTATTTCTACCAACTAATTCTTTCTTCCTGTATTATATCCTTATACACAATCTTTATTTTATATCTAACTATCATTGAAGTGAATACTCTTATGAATTTGGTGTTCATCTTGTTGTGCTAATGAGTTGTGGCAACTTGAACCGATGTATATATGTGTCTGACCCTACGTTGTAGCTGACCGACTGACTGACTGACTGACTGACTGACTGAATTCATCACTACCAACGTACTGAATGGCCATTTCGTCCTAGTATAGTGATCTAGCTTAGATCGGTTCATGAATTCAATTATTAAAATCAGTACAGTTCCCACAAACCTTTATTCTAATAATAAACTTTGTAAAGCACAAATTTAACAGGAACATTCAAAACATGACACATAGAACTTAACTGATATTGAAATTTTTAATTTTCTGTCATCCATTACTATTAGATAATAGATCATTTTAATACTTACATCTAAATATTTAGTTTCCATGTTGATTAAGAGGGCACCAAGAGGGAACCCTCTAATGTTGATTAAGACGTGATAATAGTTTATAAACAGTCATAATTACTAATACTGGGAATTTTTATTTATTGATTAATGATTCGCATATTATATATATAATATACAATACAAAGTGTACTATATGTGACATTTGTTAAAAATCAAAAACAATTACTTGTTTAACAAAAGAAGCGGGTGATATAATTTTTTTTATAAAAATAAAATGCTGTTTACTTGTATCTTCACATTGTTATTTAAGACTGCAATCGATCGGTCTCTTATTGACATATGTGCATTCTGTGCGAACTTCCTCGATATTGCAATAGGTCGCAAGCTTTAAAAAACGAAGATGGATAGTGACTAGGATTGGAATCTAGGATGCACGTTTCGTCCTATTTGGGACTCTTCAGCTGGATGTGACTTCACCTCAGGGTTGATAATCGCTGCAAGACCCAAACCCTGTACCATTCGCTTCAAATGTCATCACGTTATCCACTTAGCAAATGAGACCTGATATCTACTTGTTTGTGCAATGGGGTGAAATTTAAATTCACTTGGTGTTGTTTCATTGTATCTTCCCATTGATGTTTACCACTGCAATTGATCAGTCTGTTATTGGCATTTGTGCATACCGTGCGTATGCCTCGATATAGCTTTAATTCACAAACATTATATGCAAAGATCGATAGTGGCTAGCAGTGGGATCCAGTACGCGCGTTTTGTCCTATTTGAAACTCGTCCCAAAGTCCCAGAGTGAATATCATCTCTGAGATGCAGTTACATCTAGCTGACAAGTCCCAAATAGGATGAAACATTCGTCCGGGATTCCACTGCTAGCCATATTTACTTGAAAATATTTTTAGTTTCGAAACAAAATTTTTCTGTAATTTTCAAACATATATTTAACTGATTAAACAGAATATTTTGTCTTTCTTGTAATATGGAAAAGAATAATTTCTGTGGTAAAAAAGCAAACAAGTAAACAAACAATTATACATTCTAGATGTGATAATTTACAGCTGTTGATAGGATTTATGAAACTTTAACTTAAATGAGGAAAGGGAACAAGAGTGAACGTCATCTGACGTCTTAATCGTAATATGAGATAATACTCAGTTTTGATAATAATAGTAATAATAATAATGGGAGAAAATCGAAAGTAATTAACTATTCAGATGTATCAGATAACGAGTCCCGAATAAGATGAAACGCACGTCTAGGATTCCACTGCTAGTTACCATCCATCTGTACTTGTAATCTTTTGTGTTCCATTTTTCTAACCTAATGATTGGTTTGGATATAATTGTATTTTTCTAATACTTTGTGTATCGTTGTTGTGTTAGACATCTACTGATTCGTGTTTTCGCGTTAGTTCGAGTCCGGAATAAATCGAACGTTGTTTCAGTCGGTGCACCTTCTGTCTCTTTTGCTTGTCAACCAATCAGGTGTTAGGAGGATTTTCGTCTGTCTGGCCTCAAGGCCATTTAATCACTACTTTGACCTATGCATTATTAGACTCAAGGTTTGAACTAGGTAGTCTATTGTGTTAAGATCTGAATCTAGATTGATTAACATAAATATGAAATGAAGAAAGTTTAGAATAAAGAAAGTGAAGTTTTTCAAATGTGTTACACCAAAGTGAAGGGAAAATAATTTAATATTACCAGTGTTGATTCTAAGTAATTTTGAAAATTAGTAGAACATCTCAATTAACGAAATACATAACAAGAACTGAAATTAAAAATATAAATGACTACTTGGTAATTAGATGTTACAAAAGTCAGATGCCTCATGTGAGATGTGAAGGTTTTGAGTTCGTTTCGTGGTGAGATCATGGATATAAAGTAACTGAAACTTTGAAATATTTCTAGAAGTAAGAAACAAAATTACTTTCAGAATAAGGGTTTGTCGAATTTATAGATACACACTATTGAGAAGTTCCATATTAGGACGAAACGGCCGTTCAGTGATTTCAGGTTTTCCAGGTTAGTCTAGAGTAAATCGACTCATGAATTGAACCATTAATTTATTACAATCTCCATAAATCTCCATTCTTATAAATAATCATCATGTGCTCACTGGTGACTGGCTTTAGGATGTATTTCCTAGAGTTCTAGTGAAAAGTAGTGACCAGTAGTTACTCACCGAAGACAATGGTAGACAGTGGCGCAATATTGTGGATTAGTTGAAGCTGAATGCCAATTTAGTGATGTAGAAGTTAAGCGTTCGTGCACAAGACCGAAGGTCCTTGGTTCGAATCCCGATAGTTGGGATCGTGGATGAATATTTCTGAGAAGTCCTATACTATAACGATACAGCTTTCCAATGATTCATGGCTTTCTATGGTGGTCTAGCATAGATCAAATTTATGAATTCAACCATACAATTATTTGTTGCTTTGTTAACATTTTGCTTAGTTATTTAATATACTATTTATAAATTAATAAACCATTTAAAGATTGTGTATAAACACAAAAAGATATGAAGTTAGAATAGAATATGTAAAGTTGGGTTTTACAATTGTATGAAACCATCATCATCATCATCATGATTATACTAATAATGATGATGAATATAGCACTGTTGTAAACCGAATCATTCCCTGTGCATATATGTTTACCTTCTTTTTAGGAAAGATTCCTGTTTAATCGTTAACTACTTTCACATCTGACAAATCATTTTACTTAACAGGTGTAAATTTTAACATAATAATAATAATGCATTTTTAAGATTAGACTTTTGATCTAAGCTAATATACCAAGTTCATGGTAGTTTGTTAACTTCACTGATTGAATATACTGAACGTATATGTATATACACATGGTTGTTATCTTTACATGATGCACACTATTTAAAAAAGAAAAAAAAACAAAAAACAGTGTAATAGGTGACATTAATTGAGAATGTAAAGTTTTCTTTTTGGGGTTCTATTATACATTGGTTAGTAATGGATATATATATATATATATATACATGTATGTTTTTATTTGTATATGAATGAATACATTGAAAGGGAGTAACTATTCGGACAATATATGATTGGTTTGATTTGAATAGAAATGTGTAGTTACATTTAAAGCAAAACACACAAAAAAAATAATAATTCTGTGTTCTATTACTGATATTTTATAATTTTTGTATCTGTGCAATAAGTAAATCTAGTTTGTTATTGTGTATAATTTCGAGTGTGTGTGTATATATGTTTGTGTATGTTATTGTATATATACATACATATAAGTGCATGGATACAATAGGCACAGTTCAAAACCTGCAAATGTTGGATCAAATTAATATATATATATATATATATATATATATATATATATATATATATATATATATATTCACATGTTACCATTGAAAACCTTAATAGTAATAATAATAATAGTAATAAAGGTAGTAACCGTATCCTATGATTGGTAAACCAGATTTCGGATCAGTCGAATACACATAGATAGATAGATATTTGTGTGTTTACATAATCTATCAATGAATATACATATGTGCTTGAAATTTAACAAATTACCCCTGTTATTATTTTTTTTCTAAAAACGTTAACTAAAATATTATTATTATTAGAGATTACTTGAAATATCTTTCATCTTTATCATCCTCATCCTCATCAGCAGCAGCAGCTTTCTACATTGTTAACACACATAATAATAATATTAATGTTAACGCGGAAAAGCAACTTATTAATGGACTTTAAGTAAACGAAATAATTAACCTCTTAACTTAATACATAATGAATTTATCAACTATAAATGTAACTCATTCAATAGAATCTTTATCTTCATCAAGTTCACCAGAATTATTAAATACTAATACAATGTTAACAACTAATTATTATACTATAAATTCAAATCTACCATCAATCAATCAAACAAATAGTAAATTAAATGGTAATGAATTGACATTAAACTCTAATCTATATCACCCCCCACCTCCACCCCCTCCTCAACCTCCTCTTTCTCATGATCATCATCATCGTCCACAACAACAACAACACCATCATTATCATTCGAATTATCAACAAGAAAATCATGAAGTAACATCATCATCATCATCATCGTCGTCGTCGTCGTCGGCGTTATCATCTACATCAACATCTAATGGGATAATATCAATGAATCATTTAACCAATTCATTATTATATCCATTTTCATCAAATTTCTTATTACAAGAATCATTTATTCATTTAATTTATTCAACATGTTTCAATATATTTGACAAAAGATTAAATGATGAATTAAATAAATTTAATGAAAAATATGAATTATTATTCAATGAATATAATGAAACAAAATATCGTTTAAATAAATTAGAAACTATAATACAATATCATAATAAAATGAATATTCCATTAATACCATTACCATCATCTTCATCATCTTCATTCTTGTTACCATCCTCCTTAACCTCCTCAACCTCCTCCTCCTCATCGTCGTCGTCAGACTATTTATTAACTTCATTGAATTCATTGAAATCACAACATTTCAATGAATCAATTATTGATAATAATAATAATCATAATCATAATAGTCATATGATGAATACATTAAAAGAGATTGATACGAAATGGTTAATGAATTGGAAAAATAATAATGAAGATTATTTGAGTAGTATAAATAGTTCAAAGAATAATTTATTGGAGCCTATGTTAACAACAACAACAGCAACAATAACAAGATTAGATGAACAACAACAACAGCAACAATCAATACAAAGAATAAAAGATAAAATAAAAGATAATCATCCTATAGAATTTGATATCAATCATTTATCTAATTCATTTATTGATTCATCAATGAATGAGAATAATGTAAATTATCCAAAACATTTATTTCATGAATCTAATATAAGTCGATTACATAATCATTTTTATAATTTCAACAATGTAATACCATCCTCATCATCATCATCAGCAGGAGCAACAGCAGCAGCTGCTGCTGCTGCTACATCATCAGCATTGTCAATAAATAATCAACATTTATTATGGAATCAATGGATGGTTAATTGTATAAATTCTGTTAATGGATTATTATTATCATCATCATCCTCGTCGTCATTATCATCACAATCAATATTGAATAATTGTGAAAAAATTAATCCTTTCACTATGTCAGATATAGATACTATAGAAGGGAATCAAGTAAGTTATTCATGAATATAGTGTATTTTCTTTATGAATAAATTATTTATACATTCGTTTTGTAATTACCTACTAATATCATTCAAGTATACATTTAATAGGGTTTTGTTTTAATCAAATGAATTGTTGAAATACTATAAGCAATTCAATATAAAATGAGTCTAATAAGAGAAAATATATAACATTTGAGATTATGAGTCAATTAAAGCTAAACCATTATGAAAAACTTGGAAGCACTAAAATGTCTACAAAATCACCTTCTGATACTAATCAACATATGCTCCATAGTGACTGACTTCTGGAGGTATTTCTTGGGATTCTAGTGAAAAGCACTGACCAGTGGAGTTCAACCGGGTCTACTGCACGATAATAGTAACTCACTGAAAACAATGGTGGATATACTATTTTAATAGATGAGATCATGAGTCAGTTGAAGCCACATCACCATGAAAAACCTGGAAGCACTGGATGGTCGTCTCGTCCTATTGTAGGACTCCTCGGCAGCGTACATCCACGATCCTGCCTCACGAGATTCCAACTCAGGATCTATCAGTCTTACATGTGAACGCCTAACCTCTAGACCATTGGGCTCGTCGGCATCCAATGGTGTTAATGTCTAACTTCAATTAATCCACCAAATTGAGCGACACATCCACCATTGTCTTCAGTGAGTTACTATTATCTCACAACTGACCCGGTTGAGCTCCACTAGTCATTGCTTCTCACTAGAACTCTAGGAAATACCTCCATATACTATTTCTATAAAATGATTGTTATAGGATTTGAACTGATCTTAAACATTTGTAAATCAAAAGTAAATAATAGCTGACATTGTCTCAAAATATTCATGCAATTAATTCCCTTTTTTGAATTTAAATAAAACCAGAATGAACATGGAGGCAGAATAATATGAATTCATTATCTTTTGTGGTTTTTTATCAGTTGTTTGCAACAAAAAATATGTGGATGCGCACTGCTGAGGAGTCTCATACTAGGACGAAACGGCCGTCCAGTACTTCCAGGTTTTCCATGGTGGTCTAGCATCAATTGACTCATGATTTCAATCTGTGAAAATTTCCAAAATCTCCACAAACCCCTTCTGATAAAAAAATTATGTACTAATGTACTAAAATTTTGCATTGAGATAAGAACATAATGTGAAACAATTGACATAAGTGAATGTAAAGAATTGGAATGACAAAGGCTATCAATAATAACTATATAGGTCGGAGGTTATTTGATGTTAGAATCGAAGGAAAAAAACATAAGGAGGTGGGTGATGTAATGATTGAGTGAAGTTCAGAGATAGATACGATAAATTGTGTGATAACTATGGTGGTAATGAAGAGTTTGTATAAGAATCATGGTATTAAAAAAAGAAAAAAAAACTGGTAAGATGGGTTGCATAATAATTAAACAAGATTTGAAGAGTTCATATAATTTAATAGAATTGAGTGAGTGCAAATGTATGAGTGAAGGGGGGGGATTGAATGTACATAAAATGAGAATTCGATAATGAAAGATATCTATAACATGCTAACCACTAACACAATAAAACTAATGACCAATAAATTCAATTACCAAGGTAGTAATAAGTTTATTTTTGTTTCCTTTCGGATACATAGATCAGGTTTGAGTTGTGTTTTTTTATTGTAATCGCTTCAACAAACCAAAGAGAAGCAGTATTCCTTTGTCTGCTAATAATTTTAAAATCATGTCGAATATCAATAATATGCCCGATGTCAAATAAATGCTGAACTATTGTATTGTTAAAAGCCCTTGCCCCTCATAGTTTAAATTTCTTTGGAACATGCTCGGAAATGTAAACATGTACTCTTAATTCGGTTCTTTCAATGTATGTGCTATGTTTAAAAGAAAAAGAAAGGAAACATTTTCAGAAATTTTATTTCTTATGACTGTTTCAATGTAAAGAATACTTATTAGCATTAAATAGAATAAACTATGTATATAAAATAATTTCCTAATCAGTTACATAGATTCAATAGTTGAGATCATGAGTCAGTTGAAGGTAGATCACTATGGAAAACCTGGAAGCACTGGACGGTCATTTTATCCTATTGAGGGACTCCTTAGTGGTGCGCATACACGACAAATTCGATAAATTTACATTTCTGTCAACTAATGCTTGTAAATCAGAAATTCAAAGGATAGAATGTTGCAAATCCATAACTATTACCGTACTATAATGATAAGAATAATTATTATTTCAATAGGTTTCTGTTTCTTACTTCTTCATCGATACTGACGATAAATATTGAGTGATCGCTAGTTAGAAGTTAACAGTCCAGTCAATCAACATGTAAATAATGTACATTCTTTACGATGCATGTTGCCAGCAACCATGATATTTCTGAACCATGAACCTTTTTGTAACTTGTACCACGAAATGTTGTACACTTTTCATAAATTCACTTGAATAGGTTATGCGATTAATAGTCATAATGATGTTGTAGAACAAACAAGAAAACAGATAATTTGTTGAAATATCCAGATGGCAGGAACAGGTAGTCCATATGTTTAGGCCGGCCGCCTTATTCTATGTCATAAACAATGATCTTCAAGCATTAAAATGTTCAGAATAAATTATTATGTTAAGTGGAAATAAAGAAAAGCATTTTGCAATAATAAATGCCTGACATCACTCTAGATTCTTTAAACTATTTCAAGAATCTATAAACACTAATCTGATGTTAACTTATAAATTATGACAGTATTTGAAAATCGTCAACTTAGATTTCCCAACAATATTCATCTTGGTTTACGTATGATCAAATATTCAAACCTACTTAGAATAACCTATTGAAATCTTTTACAGATATGAAAGAATTTATTAGCCTTTCATATACTGTCTATGAAAAATATCGACGACTTTCTGGTGACGGTTTAATTTATCACTGATCTGATCATGAATCTAAGTATTTTGATTCAGTATTTGATTAGGTATTATTTCCAACCAGATGTAAATATACATATATGGAGCTGAAACTTGGAGAACTACAACAACCACCATCAAGAAGGTACAAGTATTTATAAATAGTTGTCTATGCAAGATACTCAATATCCATTGGCCGGATACCATCAGCGACAACCTTCTGTGGGAGAGAACAAACCAGATTCCAACTAAAAAGGAAATTAGTAAACGACGATGGAAATCGATACGCAAATCATCAAACTGCATCACGAGTCAAGCCCTAACTTGGAATCGTGAAGGGAAACGGAAAAGAGGAAAGTCAAATAACACATTACGTCGGGAAATAAAAGTAAATGTGAAAAGGATGAATAACAACTGAAAAGAGCTGGAAGGGATTGCCTAAGACAGATTCGGATGGAAAGTGCTCGTAGGCAGTCTGTGCTCCTCCATAAGGAGTAAAAGGCAAATATACATACAAAGATTACTTGACCAAGCATAATTTTTGCACATGACCTTGTTATCTATGTTAATGACTGTCTGTGGTTGTTGATATTAAATAAGTAGTTAAGTCGAGTGTTTATTTTTCAATGATACAGTCAATAATGTCTTGAATAATTAAAAAAAATCTAAGATGATTTTTAATGGTACTTTTCCTGGCATAATGCATTTTTCTTATAGTAGTCAGCTGACTAGACTATAAAGTCTCTATAGACTATACTAATCTATAATCCTATCAAATCACAGACATAGAATTATGTACTAAGGATGATTTTTAATGTAAAATAATAATACACATGACTATGATTACTAGTTACCTTATTGCATAATCTATTGACATTTGAGTGTCAATGAGAATGTCCACACAGAGTATACAGATATAGCAAGATAAAAGGCCTTAAAGTGAATGGAACCTGTAATAAAAATCTTATCAAATACTTTATCAGTATTCACTTTATACATATTCATCATTTAGAATCATGTCTCTTATTTGAATTTTGTGTTTTGAAAGAAGATGGTTAAACTGTTCCTCTTTTATCATCCAAAATAATTTAGCAATGTGTTATTCAAAAAAGAAACATATACAGTTTAGAAGAGCAATACTTCTAAACCATTTACATCGTTTTATCAAGAAGGATGTACTACTTCATAATAGTTTATTTTAACTAGGAATTCATAGAAAGTCAGAAAGTACTGCTTAGCCATTGTAATCTCATTTTAAACTTTTCAAGAGTCTTATAAGCATAGATGGATAGTGGCTAGCAGTGGAATTCAGGACGTGCATTTCATCCTATTTGGGACTTGTCAGCTGGATATACCTTCATCTTCGTTTATAATGCTTGTGACTTAAGACAATATCGAGGCAGTTAGCACAGTATGCACATATGCTAATAAGAGACTGATCAATTGCAGTCCTAAATAACAATGGAAGGATTCAAGTAAACAATACCAAGTGATTTTCAGTAGTCTTCCTGGACTCTTCCAAATAGAGTGTAAATAAAACTTTTAGTAGCCGTAAGTGGTTTATATTTTATAAATTTCGTCAGCTTTTATTAAAATACAACCATCAACGATTGTCATCTATGATAATTCATTAAACATTACACATAGTTTTTCATTTGTTATTAACTGCTTATTACAATATTTGTGGTATCTCCCTAAATTTTGCTTTTTACTGAATGGAAAGATATCCAAATGTTGTTAAGGTAGGCATAAAAAACGGTTTGTTTGTTAGCTTGATCAATAGAATAATAAAGTGAGCCAGATTAGTATTCAGATTTACTATCTATTATTATGAAATCACCAACTTCTAGTCTTAGCCATGTTGTTAGATGCAGGCTAATTGGTTGGGGTCCGCGTGTCTATCGTGTCTATGGTTGGAGACCCTGGGTGACATGATTCAGAATCGATCACAATGGTTTAGGTGTATACACTTTTTGTCTTCCCTTAATCGATGAGGTTAAAATTACTTTATACCTTTATTTCTACAAATTAATTCTTTCTTCCTGTATTATTTCCTTATACACAATCTTTATTTTATATCTAACTATCATTGAAGTAACTACTCTTATGAACTTGGTGTTCA